ATAGAGAAAATATTATTAGTCGAATAAATCGATTTTCCATCTCAATGGGAAAATATAAAAAAAATTATTGGAAGTTCAAAATAAAATGTTTTAAGGATTTTCAGGTTAATTTATGGAATAGTTTTAAAAATTGATGAATTTTAAAATGCACAAGTTGGCTCATCCAGTGGTGTCCAACCTTTTTTGTGCTTCGGCACACTTAGTGGTAACCCATTTTTCTTCTGTTTCTTAATTATCTTTATTAATTTCCCTTTTTAATAAATTTTAAGACCAGTTTCAATTCCAAATATCAACTCATTTGCGTAGCCAGGAATTTGAAGGGGGGGTTTGCTCAAAAAAAATTTGTATGGAGGAGGAGGGGGAATTTTAGTATTTATTTATAAAAACCTTAGCAAAATGAAGAAATTTCTGTTAACGTAAGGGAAGTTGTCACCCTAGCTACGTGCTGTGGTAAGCCATGACCAAAACCACATACAGCATTCGATTTGTGGGATATAGCAGTTTTTTTCACGGCACATGCTTTAGCTATCACTGGGTTAATCGCATAGAGATCCGGAAACAAACCGGCGTTACTCTGTCATGGTTTTGGACTCAAATCAAATGCTATTCAGGTTTGAATTGAACAGATTAATATAGATATTAATAATATAATATAAGATATTAATTTGAAAAGATAAAACCAGTAAGTCAAAGAAGCTCATTTTACAAGACATGCTAGGTTATCAAACGAATTTTGAATAAGTGTAAAGAATCCCGTTTAGAATTAAGCACAGAAATTTAATGAAAAATCAAAAATGCTCATGACTTCCGAATTAAAATTTATTGTGATGATCAAAATCACTTTAGTTGGAATTTTTTCGAAGCTAGCTAAAACTTACATCATATAAGTCTTGATTATTAAATTCAAAAAAAAAAAACTTTCTAATATCCAAAAGAAATAAAGTAAAACACATCCAAAATTACACAATTTCATTCTCATCTAATAACTTCTGCTATTAAACCTTTTCATTTCCTCATTTCATCTCATTATAGCCAATAAATATTCTACAATCGCGCAGTGCGTGTGCAGGAAAGTAAAAAAGACTATTAAAAAGGGATCGAAGTTGATGATGAATAAAAAAGGAACCGAATGGAAATGAAAGAAAGTGCCAAAGTGTCTTAATGTGAATGAAGACAATAAAATACAAGCTAAATGAGATGACTGAAATGTCATTTATTTTTAAATTAGCCCCATACATCTAAACTTTTTTTTTTCAGCAACCCTCCTCTGTCCAAAATTTCGTTTCTCATTCTTAAAATGTGCTTAACAAAAAAAAATCCAATTTTTATGTTTCATGAATGAATGAATGACTGAATGAATGGCGAAACACACGAAAGCGATGCAGGAAGACAAAGAAATGAAAAAGTTGGTCGAAGCATTGAAAAAAAAATCTTCCAAGTCATAGTTTTTAAAAGTTTTACAATCTATAACTGTTACTGTCACTCGATTTAGTTTTTAAATTTGATATAATCCAATGAGTGAGCACTCTTTCTTTATTGCTATTATAGCTATTATGGAATGAAATAGAGGGTGAAATAAGCTACACCTTGAAATGCGAACAGAATGAAAAGAAAGAAAAAGGAAGAGTTTCATGATGTGCTTGATAACAAAGAATATCATAACAGTCATGTCGGATGGGATGAGGTTGTTGCGCATTTTAAATGCAATGTGAATTTAAGCTGCTTTTAAATGGATTGGATTTATTTTTTTGTTTTTCTTTGAATTTGTATGGAGTGTTTGGCTTGTTTATGAGACATTTAAAGAAGTGGTGACCTTACTTGCTTTGTAATTACTTTCTTAACAATGAGTGGCGAAGAGCGTAACTTTAAGTTTTTGAAGTTGAATTATTTTTAATATATATACGGGAATATGAAGAGGAATAAAGGGGGGGGGGGGTGATCTAGCTCCAAAGGACCCCTCTGTTCTAGCTTCTTTTCTGGTAATGCACAACTTGGCTAGTCGGCAAACCTTATCGGTAAATCTAAGAGCCTACCCAAATGGCACAAATCATTTGATCAATCCGAAATCTAGCATCAAGTTGGTGTGACTCTGGTATGGAGCTGGATTTGATTTAAACCCAGTATCATGTCAGAGTCATGATGATTTGGCGCCAGATTTCTATTCAATCAGCCATCTTGTACTTTTCGGGCTAGTGTTATACTCTTAGCACCTTAAAAAGTTTAAAGGTTTTTAGCTTCAGAATTAGTGTTGCTTTTTGTGTGATGAACTCAACTGAATGATTTACTTCCTCAATATAGCTCCAAACTTATCCATAAAGTTCTTGTATGTGGAAATTTCTAATAAAAATGATAAACTTCAAAACAGACCATAAATAATCCCTTCACAGAACTCTCCATTAAACCTGAAAAATTGTCCTAAAAGGTACAAAAAGTAAAAAAAAAAGCATCAAAAAGCGAATGAGAAATGAATGATTCATTCAGCAAAGAGGAAATTGAAAAGAAAGTACAAGAAAAACTTTTATTTTTCATTCTTAAAAAAATTATTCTTTTTTGTCATTTCCCATCTTATGAAGTTCGCTCACTTGAAAAAGAAAAATTATCTATATAATCATCATCATCTGCAATATATATCTAGTTGAAAAAATAATAGAAGATATTTTCTAGAAAAAGGAAATAAATGGGAAGTGAATGAAAAGTTTTAATTTGGGTAATTTTTAGTCTAGCAAAGAAAAAAAGGGAAAAAAAGTTTTCTTCTCGCCTCATTTTCTACTTTAATTATGTGTCATTCACGTCCATTTAAAAAGATATTTTTCTTTACAATCTCGTCTAATTGACAATAAAGTTTTATGTTGATACAAAATGAAGAAATTTCTTTAAGCATTAAATTCAGCTCATCATAGATTCATATCTTTCGATTCTATTATTAAGAATTAAGACCAAAAATTTCGTAGGATTAGAACCAGACTCACATGATAATTTTCAATATAAATTCATCGAGTTCCTAGAATTCTGTTGTCTTTGCAGATATTTGCCAAATATTTGACTCCGTTTCCTTGCCATAAATATTCCTTTCCGTGTGACACGAGACACCACATTCCTGTGGATAAATAGATATATAGAGAGAAAGGTATACAAATTAACTTTGTTAAGTTGATTGGAATTATTTTGAGAATTTTGAATAAATATTGAGGGAAATTTTGAGGTTGGAGGTTTTGTATCTTATAAACTATTAATAACTTGATTTTATGGATGATTTTACAATGTTATTAAATTTGCATATTTACGGGCCGATTCATGAGAGCTCAATCAATTATGACGTCCATAATTTAAGTTTGAGATTTTTTGTAATAAGAGGGGGGGGGGGGGGGGGGGTGTTAATATCACATTTTTGTGAGAGTGATCCTTGATAAAATTGTGAAGAACACAAAAGATAGAAATATTTTGAAACGAGGGCCCTTAGACTACTCTACTGACGTGAATCCAAGATCTAAGGGGGGAGAAGGGGGGGGGGGGGGGAGGGGTGGGTTCATGCACAACCTCAAAAAGTTTTCATTTTGTATATGCTTTTAAAGAAACCAGAGCTCGAAGTCGAGAGGGTTCGAGTCGACTCGAGTTGACTTCACTCGACTCATAACCGAGTCTACTCAATTTTATCTCGAGTTGGCTTCATTTTTTTCGAGTCGACTCGAATCAACTCGAGTGTCAAACTGTTTGTCTCTCCACAAAAACTAGATTACATTAGCTAAACTATTTCGCAAGCTACACAATCCTAGCTTTTTAATCAAAAAACTTCCAATCGCTCGTAAATCCTCCTCTTACATCACACAATTCAAAACTTTTTAATATTCAGTTTCAATTAATTTCAAGTGTTTCAATTTTCTCTTTCAGACTTAAAACTTTTCTTTTTTTCCCATGTATGGATTTCACTCCACGAACATTAATTAATTCAATTTCATTAAATATGACTTTGCATTCAAAGCATCATCAGAGAAAAAAAAAACTTTATCTTGTTCTCTCGCACAGAAGTGGTGGAAACTGCAAGAGTAAGCAGAAATGAAAGAGAGGAAATTAAAACATTGTAATGGCTTAGAAAGTATTTAATCCTTGTGTGTTGGGGATAATGCCGAGCTCGGGACTATTTTGGGTATTTGGCTTGATTTTATGGAATTTACAGGATCACATTAACTAAGAACAGTTACAAAATAGAGACGTAGCCAGTAATGTCAAATGGAGGTATCTGATCATTCGCTACACCCCTAATCTATGCTCCCTAGCTTCACCTCTAGATCAGAAAGTCTAAATCCAACATTCAGCATAGACACAGCTGAACCAAAGAAAATTCCAATTTATGCTTCTCGGAAATGAGTGCGAACCTTATCATAGATAACAAAAAATTATATGTTTTTTTTTCCACTAAGCCTTACCGTTCCAAAAATAGTTAAGAACATTGCCTTCTCACAGCATAAATTATTCCTCGTACTTCTATGCTCCACAATCACTTTTGCATTAATCTATTTCCATTTTTATTTGCGTGTTTCGTACGTTCCACATCGATTGTCGACCGATGAAGATGAGTCCATGAAGATTCGCGTTGAGTGTTTTTGTATCGCAATATAAGTTTCATTCCATTCCATTGATTTTAAGCGTGCAAGTACGTATATAAAGGATATTTTTAATGAATGGTGAAATGAAGAAGAAACATGCAGCCATTTTAGATGGCATAAAAACCTTACTTAACCTTTTCATATTTTATGCATATATTATGCATAAAATTTAAAGGAACAAGGTTTAAATGACTGGATTAAAGGCTACTGACGTCATAGCTGAATGACCCCTGAGAAGAATGCTGCAATCATTTTTAAAGCCCAATAGAAAAACATTTTCAAATTAAATAACATCCAATACCCACTGCAAGCCATCATAATCACCACCTTTGTTGCCAATAATTCAAGCATTATCCATTCAAAGCTACATCAAATCTCATCATACACTCTTCATACATACCGGAATATTTTCACCAATCATTTCATAACGCATTTCTGGATTTGCATGATGAATGCGCCAGTGAAAGAATGCAGTCGGTATTGATTCATTCGATGATGTCAAAGCATGATGTTTTATATTGGTCATTGGAGATTTTTGTAATGCTAATCCTACAAATTGTTTCATTTCGCCGTTTGACTTGAATCCGACATTGTTGAACATACTTGATGCGAATGGATTTTTTGGCATCGAATAGACGAGAAATGAGTGGTTCCTTTGTTGTTTATTTGTCATATAACATTCCAGTACAAAGTCTTGTCCGTACTTTAAATATTCAACAGACGACTGTGAATTGCAATTTGCGACACTAGATCTGAAAAATGCATCATGTTGTGACTGCTGTTGCTGATTGATGGGATGTCGAATTACAAAAGCATTTCTCGTAATAAGCTGTGGCGACGGGGCACATGAAAGACCACATTGTTGATCTATTTCCTGACATTCATTTATGTTCGGTTCATTAGCGACAACTGATAATGCCAATGGCTCATTTTGTGGATTCATTGTTGGCATCTCGCATGCAATTAATTGAACTATTTGGTCAAATGCTATGAATGTCTTTTGTACCATCGGTTGCTGTTGAATTGGTGCCAAGAAATTTTCATAAAGACGTGCTGTTTTTTGTATCAACAATTCGCCTTTTTCTCGCTTCTTAACAAACTCCGAGAGCTCTTCCTCTTCTCGTTTGCTGTTATGCTGCTTGTTTCGTTATTTTTAAATGAGACAGAAAATAATCGAGTTAGTAGGAAGTCTATGGGTTTATTGGATAAGATGCGTCTGTGATGAACAAATTAATTTGAACTGAACTGTACTGAATTGGACAGAATTTATTTGAAACGGACTGAACTGAACTGAATTAAACTGAACCGAATTGAACTGCAAGGATCTGAATTGAACTGAACTGAATTGTACTAAATTGAATTGAAATAGACTGAACCAAATTGAACTGAACTGAATTGAACTGAATTGAACTGAACTGAATTAAACTGAACTGAACTAAATTGGTCTGAAGTGAACTGAGTTGAATTAGACTTAACTGAATTTGATTGAACTGAACAGAATTAAACGGAATTATAACTGAATTGAATTGAACTGAACTAAACTGCATAGAACTGAATTGAACAGAACTGAACTAAACTGAATTAAATTGAATTAAATTGAATTGAACTGAATTGAACTGAACTGAACTTGAACTGAATTAAATTGAACTGACCCAAATTGAACTGAATTATAAATTGAACTAAATTGAATAGAAATTGAAGTTAAGACATAGCAGTCACAGTTAGCCTAAACATGTCTTGTTTCAAAACTTTAACTCATTTTTTTGCATTTTCAGCAAAAGTTAAAAACTTTTTTTCTTTTTTTTCAATTCCACAATAATCGAATGAAAACGGAAGACAACAAGGAGCTGGAGGAAGATGACAACGACAAGAGAAGTCAGGAAAAAGGAAGTATTATAAATGGTAATTTTTGCTATTACTCGATGCTGCTATTTATTTATTTCTATGTAGTCATGACTTTCGTACTTACTTTTTGCAACAATTGCTTGTTCGGCCAATTTCCAACGAGACATTTTAAATTGTCTGCTTTCTCATCCACCACCAACATTTTTCTCTCTTGATGCTCTTCCGATTGTTGGAAATTCATGGGATTTCTGCTTTTGTTTATTTCTGGCTGATAATTCTCGCGATAAATAAATGGAAAATTTATTCCTTCCTTGATACTGTTTTGCTGATTTGTTATTGAGAAACTGACACTGAGGAAAAATTGTTTGCTGAAGTTGCTGTTGGTTTTGTAAACTTATTGACTGACTTAAGGGGTATAATTTTGATTTTTTTTAAAGATTGTTTAAATATAGTTACTATAGAAAGTTCTCTATTGGTTACAATGATTTGCTAATTGTAAGGTTTTTTTTTTATTTGGTGTTATTTAAATCAAGGCATGGAGACGAAACATTTTTTCATCAAGAACAATGAAAAAGGTTCATCTAAAATAATAGAAATTTCATCCGAAACAAAAGGATCCATCCAGTGTCCTTGAGTTTGATTCATCCAGTGTCCTTGAATTTGATTCATCCAGTGTCCTTGAGTTTGATTCAACATATGAGTTTCGTGTGCGCTTCAATAGAGTGACTTGGTGATGACTTAATGACTATATTGTTCAGATTAAGTTGGATTTATTGATGAAGTGCAGCTTACTTACTTACTGTGACCATATTCCTATGTGCAGCTTAGATTACAACAAAAGGCTTTCCATCTGACACTGTTGCTGGCTGGTTGAAATGCAGCTTGACTGGTTGTAATATTTACTTAAATGTACAAATTAAACCTCATGATAAACTCGTTCTTTTTTGGATCAGTCTCGGACAACAATAAAAGTATTGAACTGGAGAGCAAAGCTTCTAGTGGCTTATTTAAAAAAAATATTCAATATTTCATGAGGTTGGGTTCTAATTTTTGTTACGTTCTGTATTAAATTAATTATCCAGTAAAAGCATTCCAGATCGATATTTCTTGTCATTCCAAACCCCTCATATGTACATCTTAATGTTCAAATTCAACTGTTAATACACCAAATAATTCACAGTCCCAATAAAAATTCAAGACATTCAAAATAACAATAATACCTTAAAAACTACCGATTCAATTTCTCTCCATTTTTACCTACTTTTAAAAGGCAATAACTATATCATAGCAATTTATATTCAGTCACTATACACGAAAGGGAGTATGTAGAAAGTATCGATTCAACAAAATAATGTTTATAGCATAATATTGAAATACTTTTTTTCCCAGTTCCTTCTCATCTGATTGAATTTAAAATATGCATTTTTATTGAACTGTATGAAATAAAAATATTTTTTTTTCGTCTACCTTTTCCACTCCCGTAATGCGCCAAAACTGCCTTGTTATGATTTCAACCTCGTTATTTTTTAGTTACAATTTGCAAATTTTATAAGAATTTTTGTTCAACTTGTTCAGGCAGAAAGAGAACGACGGCAAATTTATATTTTTAACACTTTTTTTTTAAATTGCACAGCAGCACAGCAAAAAAAAAGTTTGTTAAGGCAGTTTTGAAGTTTCTACGGTTATTGCTTGGTGTAAAATAAATTTTTCATTTTCCACTTTTTGAATAAAGAAATTTCATGCATGCTTACCGTCGTGTGATTCTCACTTGTATGTAAATTTGAATTCAATTTGCAGCAATTTTCTTTGAGCGCTTTTTAACGATTTTTTTGGGGATGTTTTGGATTAGAATTTTATTCATTATTGTTAGGGGCTGTTCACTTATTACGTAACGCGAAAAAATGACTTTTTAGACCCCCCCCTCGTAACAAAATTTGTATGAAAAAAAAAAATTTCCTTGTTTGAACCGTAACAAAATCTTAGACCCCCCTCCCCCACTAAAAGCGTTACGTAATAAGTGAATGGCCCCTTATTGAATTTTTGAATGTCGTGAGGACGTAGATTGGAATTTAAAATTAATCAACAATTTAGCAATGCCAATAAAATAATAAAAAATCAATCCAATCAAATTAACTCACTTCCAATATGCTCAATAAAAAAACTTTCAAATAAAAATTTTAAACCAATAAAAAATGAACTTTTGCAATAAAAATAAAAAAAAACTTTAAACTTTTTTTTTTCATTGATGAAAAGCAGTGTAATAATAGAGACGAGACAGGAAACTTGTTGCCAACTTCCATGTCAATGTCATAAATATTGATTAAATTGCTTCTTCTTTATCTTTTGCAATTTTCAGGAACTTATAAATTTTTTAACATTTTATTCAACACCCATCAAGAAACATATAGGATTGCATCTGTTGTAAGGATCACGATACATTCTAATGTATCCACCTTCTCCCCAATTAGGTCCCCAAGAATTGAGCAAGAGCCAGTAAGGCATGCCATTAGTTTGATCAGTTCCATAACCTACTAAAACCACACCTGAAAATGTAATTTAAATAATTTTTAAAAAAATAAATTAAAATCCAGAACTAGCAACAACTTACCGTGATTGACCTGATTACATACAGAACCAGTTGGACATCCACAATTATCAACATAGACACCACTTTTGTAACTCATAAATGAGGTACATGGAGGAGCATAGATAGCTGTTACCATTGGTCCATAAATATACAGAAGTAGCTTTGCAAGTTCAACATTTCCCAAAACGTTCACTTCATAGATTCTTTTAAAGTACAATGGTTGCTTTGTTGGAGTCAAGTTGCAAGTATTTCTTACTTTAGTTGTACCTGATGTGTATGGATATTCAGTGGAGATTGGAGCACTGGCTTGAGCGCTATTGTTTAACCAAACTAAATTTTTAAGTATATTTATAGGATTTTTTAAATGTTTTTAATTTTTTTTTTGTTGAACTTACGTAATAAATTTGTTGGCCATCCACCTTATTTAATTGATGAGATTTATTAAGTTTAAAATATATTTTAGCTAATTTATCATTCGTGCTTACCATCACATCCATTATCAGTCGTATCACAATCAACAGCAAATTGTGGGGAGTAGCTAGTGTTGACGGCACCATTAGTTCTCAAATTATTCCATATTCCTGAAAGTAAGATAATAATAAAGTTGCTTATAGTTTCTAATGTATCTAGAAAGATACACATCTAAATCTAAATCTCTTCTGCTGACTTACCCAACATTGACATAGTACTGAATGCCCAACATGATCCACATCCACCTTGATTTAAAATTTGATTAATATAAGGCCTGTCGACGAGTGAAAAGTAACGTTCAAATTGTATCTAAAATCCACTTTTCGTTTATTAATATTTCACAATGCGATTACTTGCTAATCGACTTCTTTATTTGATTAATTAGTGATGAAAAAATGATGGGAAAAGATGGGAAAAGATGGTAAAAATTTTCAACAAATTTGTCCGAATATGCGACTTCTCCCCGCGACGTATTAATTTGAACTAATTCAAAAATGTTGAACGCATTCCGTTCAAAAAAGGAATTTGTACGGTTTTAGTATTTAAATCTCAAAAAACCGTTACAAATAAAGAATAAATTTGACGTGAAGCGTCTCATAAATCAATATGTTTCTTGTAAACATATTGCCCAAATGCTTTCAATTATATACCAAATTAAAGCTTATAACATAACAAATAAAATGATGTAAAATAATACGGTGGCATTATTCGGTATGAAATTATTAAGCTAACAATGTAAATGAAATTCATGAATTGTTTTAATGAATTTATAAAATATAGAAACTGTCGTTTGGCTTAACGACATCCTCCCACCGCGCCGAATGCATGATTAGACATCCTTTTTCTGTTCTTCTTCATCATCTGATAAGTTTACTATCTCATTAATAATCAGACGTCCTTCATCTTCTGATTCTGGAGGTGCTGCTGACGATTCTGTTGCTCTATTTCTCGATGATCTCGTTGCACGTTGTGTTATGTTCTCATCCTTCTTCTTTGTTACCATTATAATTTCCTCTTCTGACGAATTTAACATTAGTTCCACTTTCTTTTGTTTGGAAACTTTATTTTTGCTCTGTACCGCCTTAGTCGAGACTTTATCATTCTGCTTAAATGTCTTTGACTTTGCCTTTAACCAATTATTTATGGGTGGACTTTTAGCATCCTTTCCTCTTGCAGGAATAGGAGCTTTCGATGTAGACGGATTTGATGAAGCTAATGTGGATGGATTTGTCGATTTTGTTGATGCTGATGGATTAACTGTCGTTGTTGAAGGTTGATGTGGACGAACGATAATAGACGCAACTAATGGAACAAGCTTTCGAGTTGCTTGTTGTTGAACTACTGGACGTTGAATAATTGACGATAATACTTGGCGACATGATTTTTGTGTCACATTTAATGATTGATTTGTCGTTTTATTGTTGCTCTCACGATTACTGTCTTGCACAGCTGGAGATCTACGACGTATAATTAGCTGATTAATATTTTCAGCGTTTAAGTTCCATTCACAAAGGCCATTTGTCAAATTATATGCTTCAGGTAATCCAACCATCATTGGAACGTTATCACTCAACATACATGAAATATTGCGTCCTCTATAGATATGCTCAATTGGCTCAAATTCTCCACCAACTGATCGACCATCTCGTTGATATAGGAATGTAATAAAAGCATCTTCACGTGTTGATTGACGTCGTACATCAAAATTTATTCTAAATGACGTTATAACTCCACCGATTTCATATTGTGGCAACATCTGCATCAAATACGTTGTTGAGCCGGCTGGACCAAATTGTCTCTCTAAACCTTTGACATGTACTGTGACTGGAGTCTGGTGGAATCTATCTTCCATACTTAAATGACTTAATGATGCACGTCCAAGCACAGAGTCCATTATTAGACAATATTGAGCGTCTCTGCCATCTTCAACAAAGCGAATATCAGTTTGTGTTATAAATCTAGCGTCGATGAGTGATGTGCAATAAAAATATATCGTGCTTCCTAATCGTTTATTACGATAATCGGCAGTTCTTGCAACTCCAATTATAAACCGAGAATATGGTGCGATTCTTGATAGAAGTTGATAAAACGTCACGTTTGTTGGTATTCTATCGACTCGAAGGATATAGTAAGGTGATGGTAATTTAGCAACAGATTTCTTCCCCATTATTTCAATGTCTGTAAATGAGAAGAGAAAAAGAGAAATGATTAGAATTCTCGCCTTGCACGAGAGAATAGCATTGAATGCTAATAATAATATTAATTCATTTGGTAGCAAATCGTATGTGATTAGTCACATAGATTTTATTTCTATTTTGGCTAAGCGCTTGGCGCTTCTATTCTTTCTTATGGAGCCATCAGGTAATATTAGATCAACAACTCTTCCGTTATTGTCTTTGCTGTAGTACACTTGCTGTACTCTTGCACGTTCCCAAGCTTTCCTTGTCTTATTTGGATCTATAATGAGAACTAAATCTCCAGTTTTAATGGGTTCAAATTCTTTGAACCATTTTGTTCGTTTTGTCAATATTGGCAAATATTGAGTTGTGAACTTTTTTGTTATTTCATCAGCGAATATTCTTCCGCGTCTGTATTGATCACGATCTCCTAATGGATCCGGAATCTCTTTATATTTATGAATTGATGGCAATAGTGGCCATCCACTTCTATTCTTTGCCAAATGATGTGGAGTCAGAACTTCCTCCTCCTCAGCACTAACTGGATTATGCGTTAGTGGTCGACAATTTATACGATGAGCTGCTTCCTGTAATGCAATGTTGAATGAGATTCTGCTGATTTTTCTTCCTTCAATTGCTGATGCAATGGATTTCTTAACAGTTTGTATAAGACGTTCATAGAAAGCTCCAAACCACGGTGATTGAACAGGTATGAAAGTCCATGATGCGTACGATTTCGCTGCTAATTCGCTCTCGAGAACCTTTTGTGTATCCTTGAGAAATTGAACTATTTGACGTGCATCACTTTGAATGATATTAGCGGCTCCTACGAAGTTAGTTCCGTTGTCGGAAATAAATTGCTTAACTGGTCCATGGCTTGTCCAAAAGACCATAATTGCTTCCAATACAGCCAATGAAGTAAGATTATCTAAAATATGCAAATAGACAAATCTTGTTAGTGTACAAGTAAGGATTAGAATCCAAACTTTCTTTTGATGACCATTAGCTGCGTAGACGGTAAATGGGCCTGCACAGTCTAAACCAGTGACTTCAAATGGTTTCAGATTTGTGTCAGTTCTAATACTAGGTAAAGCTGACATTTTATATTCAATGGGATTTGCTCTTATGAACCCACAATAGTTACACATTGATTTTATTCTGTTTAAAGCTGCTCTCAGCTGTGGCATCCAATATTTTGATCTGAATTCTGCCATTTGACTTTCGATTCCAACATGTCGAAACTTGTAGTGGATATCAAATAATAAAGCTGTACTAAACCTGCTTTTCCTCGGCACCAACGGAGCTAAACTATTTGCATATGTTTCCCTTTCCAATGTTGTACTTTTAGCAGGCTGAACTCTCGAATTGATTCTTACTAATCCACTCGTGTCCATAAACACATTAAGTTGTAACCATTCTAGATTGCTGATACGTTTTCCCTTTCGCAATCTTTCATATTCGATGGGATTTGATTCCCGTTGCATTCTCCTAATTATAAAGAGTTCTGCTCGTTCCAGTTCTTCCCCTGAAATCACTCGAAAATTGTTGTTTCTAATTATGGCTTGTTTTTCTGCCATATTATGCCAATTCTTGGACTTTGTTAATGGTATGATAGCATTGTAGTACACTTTAAGTGCTCTAGCTACTGCTCTCACTAGTTTTGGCCAGCGACTTGTTATTTCCGCACCTAATAAATCTATGATGAAGTCTGAAAATAACTCACAATCAACTGGGGGTAGTTTTACTACATTTATTAATGATGATGTATGTAGATTAATATATGACACTAAAAGTGCTTCATTATTACAAACTTTTAAGTTTTGCTTTGGCCAATATGCTCTTGGCTTTTTAAGAAAATTTGGTCCTTGAAACCAAATACTATTTATGTCTCCAAAATCAAATTTTTGGAACTTTGTAGCAATATCTGCAGCATTATTCTTGCTGTCAACGTAATTCCATCTTTCAGCTTCAGTTAATTCCAATACTTCCTCTACAGGTGATACTGCAAATCTTGGAAGTTTTATGTTTTCATTTTTTAACCAATTTAGAACGATTTCGCTGTCGCTCCAACAAAAAACTTCAAGTTGGACTTCCTTGTGAAGCTCGACAACTGTTTTAGTTAATCTGGATGCGATTAAACTTGATAGCATTTCCAATCTAGGCATCTCAGTTATTTCCGTTTTTGTCTTTATCTTAATTGGCGCAACCTTGGCCTTTGACATCACGAAACTAACATGCCGATAATTATTTATCGTTGCTACTAAATATGACACCGCAGCAAATGCTTCTTTTCCTGCGTCACAGAATGTATGAAGTTCCACTGAACTTGCATCAGTGATATTGTAAGATTGAAATCTTAAACGAGGTATCTTTAATAGAGATACTTTTTCCAATTCGTTTAACCATTTCAGCCAGTCTGTATGCTCTTGATCTGATATCTCCTCATCCCAATCCAGTTTTTTCTTCCATGATCGTTGCAAAAGGATTCTACCTCTTATGATGCAGTGTGAAATTAATCCCAGGATGTCAAAAATGCGCGCGATAGTTGAACATTGATCCCTTTTTGTTGGCTTATGTCCACACTCCTTTACTAGTTTGATAAACGCATTTTTATTAAGATTAAATTCAAAGGAATCAGACTTAGGATTCCATGCGACTCCTAAAACTTTTGTTGTGTATGACGATTCCTCCGTTGTCATGATATCAATGGAATTCTGTTTGACGTAATCTTTGTTTAATGCTCGCAGAACTTCTAAACTGTTACTTTGGAATCCTATCAATTCCCAATTAATTGATTTCAAAATTTCTATACATTGGTTAGAAACTTCTATTGCTTTCTCTTTAGTAGGCTCGCTGCTTAAGAGATCATCCATATACGTAAAGTCCCGCAGCGCCCTTGCCGCACTGGAGTACTTTTGTTGCCATTTATCTGCTGTTTTGTTCTTCACGAACTGAGATACAAATGGACTGCTTTTAGGTCCAAATAACATTACTTGTTGAATGTAAACTTGCATTTGTTCACTCAAGTTTCGTCGCCATAAAATCCTTTGACATTGTTGATCTCTCTCACAAATGAAGATTCTATGGAACATGCTTTTGACATCTGCTGTGAATGCATATTTGTACATCCTCATTCTCATTAATGGTTGTAACATATCTACTAATAAGTTAGGTCCCATTAGTAACTTATCATTTAATGATGATCCTTTATATCGTGCTGATGCGTCGTAGACATTTCTCATCTTGACAGGTTCTTTGTTCCTATTGACGACTAAAGACATTGGTATGTACCACTTATTTGGCCATTCATAATTCATATCGCGTTCTGTTGCAGGTCTCACATAATTTTCTTTAATAAGTTCCTCAAAATTATTGTTATATGCTTGAAGTAACTCAGGAGTTTTCTTTAAACTATTCTCCGTAGAAATTTGTCTCTTATAGGCCATTGGACAATTGTCAGGTAATGAGGGTATATTTCCATCCTCTAAGTTCCAGACTAAAGGAACTTCCACTGATCCATTTGGGAGAATTTTCATTTCATTCTCGAGCGATTTAATTGCTTCTTTTTCATTTTTTGTGTAGTGTTTATGATGAGGTTTTATTCCTAGATTCTCTATGGAACAAGAAAATGAATAGATCCTTTCCAACTCATCATTAGACTCTCCAATGTCATTTGTACTAGCTACACCTTTGACTTGATTAGAATTTAAGGAATACGATGATTGAAACTTCTCGATCGCGCCTCCATATATTGTGTAACCTAACTTGCACTTCATAGCAACAGGTTTATTATTTCCATCCTCAATAACCGGTTCAATTGCTTCAAATAGATAAGCATGTGTTGATCCTAGCAATATTGAAGGTATCGCTTCTTTATACGACTCAAATGGAATTTTCTTTAAGTACGGGAACTGCTTCTTTAAAGCTTCAACATTTAGTGTACGTGGTGGAAGATTTAAGTCATGCACTGCATAACATTCATCAATTTCATATACTTCCTTCTTGTTTGTGCCTGATATTTTCAGTTTCACTTTCCAAGCATCCACGATTTTAATATTTGCATCCGTCCATTGCAATTCAATCGCACATTTATCTCCAACTATTCCGATATCATCAATTAAACTCTTCTTTACTAAAGAGATTTCCGCTGCTGAATCACCCATAGCATATCCTAAAGCATGTAAGGATTTTCCATAAAAATTTGTCTTGAACAATTTAATAGTTCTATGCGAACTTTCATCATTTTGGTAAGCAATTGGTGATGTAATAAAAGTTTGATAAGGCTTGCTCTCATCATCACAATTTATCGGTGGTTGAATTGGATATCCTTTGACAACTTGTTGCTGTAATGGACCTTCATTTGATATAGCAACTGCTACTATCGTTTGTGCTTGTGCAGCTGGTGGTGCATTATTTTCAGCTTGTTGATTTTCTTGATTTCGTTCGTGATCATTCACTTTCGCATTTGCCCTTGCAGCATTGCTATTCGTGTTGGACCTCCTGTTCTGCCTTTTGTAGGACTTGTTATAATTTGGATAATTTGATCCATATCCACGATGAAGTGTTACATGATGTTTTCCTGTACATCTCGTATTTTTGTCAACTTTGAATCCACAGCTATTCTTGATATCACAATCCTTTGCTTGGTGACTCGTTGTAAGTAAACAGTTGATGCAAATATTCTTTGACTTTACTGCATTATATTTTGCATCCATCTTCATGTCTCGGTAAGCCTTGCACTCGACCGAGTAATGATTTGTTTTTGAACAAATTTCGCAACGTTTAGGTATTTGCTTTACCTTCTCCAAATCATATCCTAAATATCGAGCTGACTCTTTGTCCTTTATCTCATATTTATAACTGTCGTTATAATTTGTTGATGGATATTTAGGTGCATTATTGGTAGTGGATGTTGTAAAGACTTGATAATTGCTGCCTTTATTCTTCACTTTGTTTTCCTCCGTAGGTTTAAAACTTCCCAACGGTAGCGTTTTCGACAGACTATTTAAAAACTCGAACTGTATATCCAATCTCTCCATTCTTGTTGTTGCGTTTGGTAATTTCTTAAAATAGAAATCATAATACATTTGCTGATGGTACGGTTCCAATTGACTATGTATTTTTGATGAAATACTAGAGTCCGTAATTAAAATTCCAGCATAAGAACATGCTGCCATATAACTTGCTATATATGTGGTTACTTCCACACACGAAGAATGCGTGAGTGGCTTTGAAAGTTTTGCATTCATCAACTTTAATTTAGCACTTTCAACTACAATATTGGAATTTCCAAAACTTTCCTTTAATGCCAACATAATCTTTTCCGCTGATAATAATGGGAAAAGTGAATCAATCCTCGCTAATGCCAAGCCTGTCAATGCGTTTCGTATTTGATTTCGCATTTCGTTGCTAGTGAATTCACCTTCTTTCCAATTCCTTTCAACAGCTCGTTGAAAAGTCAGCCATTTCTCTGGACTTCCATCAAACTTCTCTATCTTGGGAAGATTGCGTCTCAATTCACTAATTGTTAATTTGCTGAGATGACGTAATGTATTATCAACCATATTATCTGTTGACTCAGCTTTCTTTACTTCCTTTTCATCTGACTTCATTGGTGTGTCAGCATTTTCATCGTTGTTTCCGATCATTAAATTAATAGCTGCTTGCGATTGTTGCAACTCTTCATTGATTCGAGTAGACGTTGCATTTGCAGTCAATATTGCGTCCGTGTAAGAGGTTTCTTGCAAACCTATTAACGGGCTGACTGCAATTGATGACTTTACTTCATGCTTCTCTTCAATTCCATTAATGCTGGACTGATTTGCCAATATTTGAGTCATCAATTTTGTATTTTCCATCAATTGTTGTTGCAGCTTTTTGTTTTCTTCTCGCATTTTGCTAAGTTCTGTCAAGAACTCCTTTGGAATTATATTTCCTTTCTTATCTACGTGAACAGAACCATCAATCTTATTGTCCTCTGTTTCTGATTCAGAACTAGAACTAGTTTCTTTGATGAAGTATTTGATACGTTCATCAAATGATAATAGATGCTTTCCAGAAATTACTAAATTCTGCGCTGCGCTGTTTAACGAGTTGGTTCTGCATGTACTGCATGTCCATGGTAGTTGAGTCTCCGCTATTGATGTGAAATCAGTGCCTGTACATCGCAAGTGATAAATGTTATCACACGAAATGCATAAGACCATTTTCTGAAGAACTTCATCCTTTCGTTCCTCTTCATTTGCTGTAAACCATTCACAACTATTTCCAATTGAGCACCTGACGTCGTCTCTGACTAAATCACATGCAAATACATAATTGTTAATTGACTTGCTGGAAGGATTCTTAATTCGATACGTTTCCTTCGCTTTTGGATTTCTTTTGAAGAATTCAGCTAAACTTCCATGACTTTCAGCACTCATTGTTTTATTCAATCTATTTAATTGTCTTTAGATTACTTGATACTTGCGTTACTTGATAACGACTTGATTACTGCGTTACTTGATAACGACTTGATTACTGCGTTACTTGATAACGACTTGATTACTGCTTTACTTGATAACCACTTGATGATTATTTAGTAATTGAATTATTGTTCCTTGCGAACAATTCAGTTTGATATCCAAAAAATGTGCTTAATTGTATCCAATAAATCCACAAACTTTATCCTTTTGTTGAAGAAACTGATTTGCGTTCTATAACGACTTATGCGCCTAGTTGCTGACGACTTTAAGGTTATTCCTCAAACAATTGATTTGCTTTGCTGGATGTTTACTGGATGTAATGTGTAATGCACACTGGATTGCTTTTAGCAATTCTTGTTGTATATATCTGACTTGCACAGATAAATACTGTATCTGCCTTGCGCAAATAAAATGCTAAATGATGAAAAGAAAGAAAAGAGCAAACTAATTACTTAATGCATCGACTTACTATCGATAACTGGAACTGAAGATTCTCTGCTTTCTGTTTAAGACTTCAAATGCGTATGGAGCTTCTTCTCGTTCACTTTAATAATCGTCTGGCTCTCAAAATTCTACTTTCCACAACACTTTTTAACCTCTTTTTAAATTTAATATGAAATTTTATGAAATTTTGAATTTCCAGTATTTATTCAATTCTAAATTGCACTGTTTGACTATTTATGTCTTTAACTAGCCACTGAGGTTATTTATTTAACACTTATTCGCGCCGAAACTTATTTTCACGTGTGAAAATTAAATGAAAAGATTTTCACGTGTAGAAATTTGTTGAAAAGATTTTCACGTGTAAATTTGTTGAAAAGATGTCGACGAGTGAAAAGTAACGTTCAAATTGTATCTAAAATCCACTTTTCGTTTATTAATATTTCACAATGCGATTACTTGCTAATCGACTTCTTTATTTAATTAATTAGTGATGAAAAAATGATGGGAAAAGATGGGAAAAGATGGTAAAAATTTTCAACAAATTTGTCCGAATATGCGACTTCTCCCCGCGACGTATTAATTTGAACTAATTCAAAAATGTTGAACGCATTCCGTTCAAAAAAGGAATTTGTACGGTTTTAGTATTTAAATCTCAAAAAACCGTTACAAATAAAGAATAAATTTGACGTGAAGCGTCTCATAAATCAATATGTTTCTTGTAAACATATTGCCCAAATGCTTTCAATTATATACCAAATTAAAGCTTATAACATAACAAATAAAATGATGTAAAATAATACGGTGGCATTATTCGGTATGAAATTATTAAGCTAACAATGTAAATGAAATTCATGAATTGTTTTAATGAATTTATAAAATATAGAAACTGTCGTTTGGCTTAACGACAAAGGCCTATAGTCTAACGATGGAGGTGCTGTAATTCCTGCAACATTTGGAACAATCGATGGTGCAACTGGCAATGAACGCATTGTTGGTTGACGTTCTGTTCTACATATTTCATCAGTTACTTCCTTAGGTTCACGGTCAGAAAATGGTGTTGGTCCTACTTTATGGTATGGATAGTTTTTATTATGCTCATCATAATATTTCATGTGCTTCAAAAAAGTTTTTTCACGTTTGTCTACTTCAGTTAAATCAAGTGATTCATGGTCAATTCCGAATTTCTTCATATGTTCTGCATAATGTTGATTGTAAGGATGATCTTTGTGATAACCTAAATGTGCGTCAACGGTTATGAAAATTGCCACGAATAGAAAAATTATTTTGCTCATTTTAAATTTTCAGGTGTTTCTGTACCTTGACAGAGCTAAAACGAAACTGAATTGATGAATTATATTTTGCGTGATAATAAACATTTTTAAATTCAATAATCTGCGTCTGTTTTGAGGAATTCGCTTATTTTGTTGATGAGAATATAAGTTTGATACTCAATAATGTCTGTTTAAGGACGTCATGGACTTACCAATTTTATTTGAAGTAGAATTATACATATTACCTGATTTGGAGTCAAACTACTATTGTTTAAACATAAATTAATATTTATTTAATTTTAGAATAGCGAAGTAAAATTAAAAACACTTTTAATAGAAAAAAAAAACAAGAAAAAATGTGTTTTTTATCAGTCCTTCCCGGATTCTTTCATATCATCTTAAGTTTATTCCTGCTGTTTAAACATACCTATCTTTATATTCTTTAATTTTAAAAACAAATTATCACATTCTTTGTAAATAATTTTGTTGTTTTTTAAAGCCTTTTTTAATCGAATCATTGTTCATTGACGTGTTTTAAAGTTGTCAAAAGACAATTATAACCATTTAAAATGATTTTGAATTATATTTGACAAAATCTTTTGTTTAAACTGTCACAAACCTCACAGCACTCGATTTCTACGAGGGACTGACCTGAACTCTTACATAGAATTGGCTTAGAGTTACATAATGTGACAAGGATATGAATACAATTTAATTGATCAGCTTTATATTTCGTCATTTATTTTTTAGACAAAAATATTTACTTTTCAAAAAATGTGAATAAACAACTCGCATATGAGCATGATTAAGCGTAAAACTTATGTTCAAAACTAATTTTAACATCGAAATGCCTGTTTTCTAACAAGAGGTCATTAACATTTAAAAAAATCAAAATATGTTTTGAATAAAATTTTATCTCACTTTATATACCCCTACCGAACACCCCTACTCCCAACCCCCACCCCTTCCTGCCTCACCTTTCATAACAATTTTTTTATGGAAATCTGAACAAGGGCGTAGCCAGAGGGTCCTTAGGTGCCTTGAAAAATCCTGGCTACGGCCCTGAATCTGACTAATTGTAACAAAACGCAAGTGCTTTAAAATAAACGATCTATCAAATCAATTTCAAAATCGTTTAGTCCTACCTTAAACTATTGTTCGGAAGCTTGTATAAAATAAGACTTAAAACACTTGTCAAGTTGTTTTATCGGTAGTATTTAAATTCCTCCATAATGAGACATTTTAAAACAAAATAGCGAACACTTAAATTCGTGAAAATAAACGCTGAAATGTCACTTAACTTAAAACGTTTAAAAAAATCAAACTCCAAAAATTTAATCAAAAAATCATTTATTCAGGTACAATAAAATCATCATCAGTAGAAAACATAAAATTCCTTGTGAACTTTCAACTCGATTCTTTTATTCTACACCCATGGCCCAACAAGCAACATTGCATGTATTACCCATAGCCATTCTCATGTAACCTCCTTCTCCCCATGTTGAGCCCTAGAAAAATAAAATTAATAAGCAAATAATTCTTTAGAATTATACACTTACCCATGAGTTACGAATAATGAAATATTCTTGACCTGCTGTTGATCCGTAACCAACTGCAACCATACCTGTCGATTTTTAATTAAAAATTACTTTTGTGTTAAGAAAGTTCTAAAATGATTCAATATTACCATGATTAACTGTGTAACACAAATTAGTTCCAGTAACAGGACAATCAGGATCAGTGAAAATTCCAGTTTTATAATTTTGGAAAAGTCCAGAAGGTGAGACATACATTGCAATGGCAACTGGACCATAGTTTGAGATGATTTGTTTCAAAGCAGCAGCATTTCCGTTTATCAGAAATTGGAACGTGCTTGTGTAATTTAATGGAACGTATGGAGCAACTTTGCATGATCCTGCTGCTTGGGTGGAACCAGATGTATATGCATAATTCATAGCTGTTGCAATTTTATTTCCATAAGTGTTCTTTAAGAAATCTAAAGAGAAAAATTAGGTAAGTTTCAATTTTACAGCCCACTTTCACTGAACATTCAATAATTCAATGACTATCAAGGCTCAGATCTGGGTTTTCGTGAATTAGAGAAAGTCTTACCAAAAGAACTTTTAGGCCATCCTCCACCGCATCCATAATCAACAGTATCACAATCAACAATGTTTTGCTGCGATATAGCAGTTTTGCCTCTTCCTCTGATCTCGTTAAAAGCCTCTATTAAAATAACAAAATTAATAAAATTTAAAAATTCATCTTTAATAATTTTACCGATTGTTGAAGCCGTAGCAAATGCCCAGCATGATCCACAAGCTCCTTGATTTACAACATCTTGCGTGTATTGAGTTCGCCAGTCAACAGCGACTCTAGCTGCTGTTGTTGTTGCATAAATTGATGGTGGAAGTGGAAGTGCACGAGCCATTGGTGGCAATTTAGTGCGACACATGTCATCAACGAATCTTTGTGTATCTCGATCAGAATATTCATTGGAACCAAGTTGGAACTTATTTTTTGGATCTTTGTTGTGTTTTTCGATAAAATCTAAATTTTTCATGTAATTTTCTCGGCGTCTAGTTCTTACTTCCTCAGGTAAACTGTCATATCTCTTTCCATGCTTTCTTAAATGACTATCGAATCTTTTTTTGTGTCTGTTTTCTCTTTGCTTGCTGTCCTCACTATCCTTAGCTGCTAAAACACAAGCTACGACCATCAAGAGAATTATCAAATTCTTCAACATTTTGTAGCTCTTCCTTTTTGATTAAACTTGTCGTCAATACAATGATAACTGATATCGATTGTACAATTTTCAATTCAATTTATACTATAATCGACTTTAAGTTAATGCCTATTTCTTATTGGATGTACTAAAACAGTTGTACACGTTTTGATGACGTCATAATGCTTGGATGAGAAATAATATTTATTTTAGTGTAGTTCAATAACTTATAAAAAATGTTTTTAACGCATTTTTGAAAACTAGCTTCTTTATTTAAATAAAACTTTGTACAATGAAATTATAATATATTTATAATCTACTCAATACCCATTGCATAACAAGCAACATTACACGTGTTGCTCATTGCCATTCTTATATAACCATCTTCTCCCCAGGTTGTTCCCTATAAATAAGATATAATTAGTGACTTACATACTTCTACCTTAAAGCAGCTTACCCATGAGTTTCGAATAATAAAATATTCTTGACCAGTTGTAAGCTTTCCATAGCCAACAGCAACCATAGCTTAAAATATCAAATTTGTCAAAATGTGTTAAGGAAAATTCAAATGTCAATTAAAATTACCATGGTTAATAATGGTACATTGATTGGGTCCAGGACATGTAGCATCAGTGAAAATTCCAGATTTGTAATTTTGGAAAAGTCCAGAATTCGTGACTTGAACTGCAATAGCAACTGGACCGTAATTGGAAATGATTTGTTTAAGTGTAGCAGTATTGCCATTTGGGACGAATAGGAAGGTGCTTGTAAAATTTAATGGAGCATATTGGGCAACTTTACATGACCCTGCAGTTTTTGTCGAACCAGATGTGTAAGGATAGTCTACAGCTCTAGCTAACTTATTGCCATAAGAATTTTTCAACCAATCTGTGTGTAAAGAAATCGATAAATTTTAAACTTTTTCAATTTTAAAAAAATTCCATAATTTTGTGAACCATTTAAAATTCAAGTTTGGTTTCTAAGGCTGCATGTGATACCCTCCGTGGGTAATTGAGTAGTTTTATTAAAAATCAACTTTTAGTTATATTTGAAGCTAGCTCCAGATCACTTTTCAAAATTGACTACAATAGCTACTCACCGAAAATAGATTTTGGCCATCCACCTAGACATTTGACTGAGTGACAATCAACAATATTTTGCTGTGACATCGCAGTTTTTCCTCTGCCTCTGATTTCATTATAAGCCTCTGGTTAATTAAAAATAAAAGCTTTATTTAAACTTCAGACATACAATAGGAAAATAGGATTAATTTACCAATAACAGAAACAACTGAGAATGCAGAACATGATGCACATCCTCCTTGACTAACAATTGGTTGAGTATATTGGGTACGCCAGTCAACAGCAGATCTTGCTGGAGTTGTTGACGTATAAATTGATGGTGGAAGTGGAAGTCCACGAGTCATTTGTGGCAATTCTGTACGGCACATTTCTTTAACAAATGTTTTTGGGTCACGATCGGAAAATTCATTAGAACCAAGTTGGAACTTATTTTTTGGATTTTTGTTGTGTTTTTCGATGAAATCTAAATTTTTTAAGTAGTTGTTTTGACGTCTAGCTCTTACTTCCTCGGGTAAATCTTTATACTTCTTTCCATATCTTTTTAAATGACTATCAAATTTTCTTCTATTTTGCCTTTCATTACTGTCTTTGCTGTGCTTGTTAGCCAATACACAAGTCACAATCATAAGCAGAATTATCAAATTTTTCATCATTTCTAGGTTAAGTTTATGCTTTTATTCTTTTAATATGCTTTTAAAATTACACTTGTAATCAACGAGATTGAAAACTGTAAAGTGAACGATAACTCAATTTACTTCATAATTTATACTCAAATGTTTGACACCTTAACCTTATGCTTAATGATTATTTCCACAAAGGTTGACACTCTAAAACAGTTGTACATATTTATATGTCGTCATCTAGAAACTTGACATCTTTCACGTAGCTCGATTATCTAAACTTTAGTGCATTGGTTCTCAAACTGTGTGCCGTGAAAAAAATTTGATTACTAAAATTGACCTCTTGTTTTCATGTTTTGTGACTTCAAAAATGCCATGAAAATCATTAAGGATGTGTAAATAATCAGTGGACTTAAACTTGAGCCTATGGTTGACTTAAGTTAAGTATTGCGTGAGAAATAAGTTAACAGAAAAAACATTTTTATTGCCTACACGAGCATTATTGTTTGAATTACTTACCACATTTTTTCCTAGAATTAGTAAAACATGTAAATATCTTATGAAAAAAATAAGTTGCGTGGTTTCGACGCATGTTAAATTTTTTTTATCACTAAACAAATATATTTTAAGCAACAAAAATAAAACTCACGTATTCACAAAATTCCTTAAAACAATGATATTAATAGATCTGATGTATTCTATGGGATAAAAGCTTGTAAAATAGGAAGGAGAGTAATTAGACCCAAAACCACTTCAATCCTCCAAAAAAAATGCATCTCATATTAGAATAACGTCTTTAATATATATTAAAGATAAAGCACTGATTTAATTTTAATTCTCATAAAAAATCAGCTTAAAAGCTTTTCAGCATTACATTGAGCATCCAACAATTCATTCAGGTGGATAATACACATTGTACTGAAGTGTATGACGATAAATGAATGAATCCATCCACAGCTATCTATAGATCCATAAAATTTATTCATCTATCCATTCTTTGATAGCTATGCCATTGTCGTACACACTCACACACTCATGAAATTATTATCAGCATGTGAGATGATTCTAATGCTTATAGTCGCATGAATTGCTTATGCTTTTACATCATCTAAAAAATTTACATTTTACATAAGAGCATCAAAGTCATTCAATAACACGAATTTTCCATTATCACCTAAATGTTCTATCATACTTCTTTCTGTTCTCCTCTCACCTCGCCGTTATCTCACATTTGATGTGAGCCCGAGAAATGCATGAAATAAAATGCTTGGGTTTTGAATTACATAAATCAGGGCCCTGTCAGGAGCTTAGCAAAACAGGAGCAATTTAGGCTCTAGTAAAGTCAAACATAGGAAACTTTTATTAACCTCAAAATCTGTATAACTTAATTATTGAAGTCATGTGCTACATTGGGCGCCTGATCATAAATGGATTAAGCTATTATTTTGTTGGATTTAAGTTCTAAAGCATAAACATTAGAGCTAGTTGAATTATAGATCCTGATACAAAATTATGTACTATATAAATATGTCACACATCACTTACAGCATTTGAGTGAGTGAGACAAAAAGTATTCATTGAGGCTACTCATGTTCGCCTCAGAGTTATGCAAAATCATGACTGACAATTTACATCGTACTAATAGGGCTGTGATAAAATGACCTAATTTACTTAAGTGATGTTAACAAATTTACATTTTATTTTTATACGAAGTAGTTCATAAGTGACAAACTACATATTGAAGATAGAAGTGTCTGGAGCCAGCCATAATGTGGGATTTTTCCAGCCAAGTGATATGCTCCTACACGGTTCGACAAGCTAGAGGCACTTCCATCGATAAGGAAATATTTTGAACCTTTAAAGACACTTAATTCCAAGGCGTGGAAACTATCCCAAATATCATTTTTATCACACATATCCCAAAAATATTCAAAAAATTCCTGAGCATGTATGCACGATAATAAAGATATCCCAACGTGTTTTTAGTGTATTGGACGTGTAATTTCAGGATATGATGGAATATCTCAATTCTAATGCATACAGGCTCAGGGATTATTTTGAATATTTTGGGGATATATGGGATGAATGGAATATTTGGGAGAGAATCCACGCCTTGCTTAATTCAAAGAATAATTTGTAGGGTTTGTGAAAATGTCTACGTGCTCTAAAGATATAAAGCATAAGGAAATGTACAGACTGCATGCTAGAAACAGGAGCTTTGTTTTAAGAATCAACCTCATTTTAGACAATTTCTTCAATTTAAAAATCCTAATATTATTATTTTAACACTTTCCATATTTTATTGATTCAGAAAGGACAGCTCTATGACAATAAATGCCCAAATGAACATATTCAATATTCTGCGTTCGAACCAAAATTATTCCTTACAATTTTCTAACTTCATTTATGTCACTACTCATAAGGTCAATGCTTTTTATTCACAAATATAAACATCATTAATTTTATGTGATGATGACTGTATAGCGTGTAGAAAATTGTCATGAATGATAGACTCTTCTCTTTCTAAATTGGCACTCGACCTTGCTGGAAGCCGCATACACGTTAATTCTATAATTTTATCAACTAGAATTTTCTGCTTTCTCTTAAATTTCACTATAAAGTGTTTATTTTTGAGGATTTTCAGGGGTTTGTTTAATAGGAGGAGTTATTAATCAATTTTATTTCTTCAGGAGTGTAGCCAAACGATCAATATCCCTGCCTTAAACTAAAATGTATTTAAATTTCAATGGTTTTTGAGCAAAACTTCCCCTAAATTAGTGAGATCACATCTTTACCCTATTAACGGAGTTCCATTGAAATTTTCTTTAATTTGCTCTAGCTTTAAAGAAAAGCAAACCTTCCCTAAAACTAGGGTGACCATCTGCGTAGTTTTACAACGGACAGTCCTATATTTCAAAACCCTGTCTTGTATAAATTTGAAAATTTTATTCCAGCTCCTGTATTTTTTTCACGAAAATTTCCGTTAATTTTCAAATTTTCCTTTGTGTCCTGTATTTTTTGAAAATTTATCAAATGTCCTGTACCAGTCTTTTACCAGATTTTAAATAAGCTCCTAAACTATATGAATGAAGTGTACAGCACTCAATTCAACAGCTCATTCAATGCCGGAATCGAATGAGATGAAAAAAACACTTAAAATCGTTTAATATTTCCCTCATCCTTTGGCATCATGAAAATTTTACATCAAACCCAATTGAGATGGAAATGGAAGTTTATCAAAAAACTATAATATTCAAGTCGAAATCGTCATCAATAAAAAAAATATTTTTATGACCATCTGTTTCAATTTTTTTTTACGTTTACGTTTATAAGATCATTTCAGTTACAATTCCTCACGACAATTTTCACACTTACTTGTACTGTCTATCATAAAAATGTTTATTGAATGTAAAAAAACATAAACATACAACATAAAGGCACATTCAGGTCACAAAAATGTAGTTTAGATTTTTGTCTTTAGCACTTATGTGCTTCATACGAGCTTGTGTGACATATTTGCAAGTGATATGATATTGTAATAAAAATATGAATATATAAGCACGAATATATAAAGTCATGAATATTTGAATAATGGAATTTTGGTATAGAATAGTGAAGTGGATGGATTTATAGGGTGAGAAGTTTTATAGGTTGAGTGTTGTTTGAGGATGTTTTGGGGAAATTTACATCAGAAATACTTCAACGTATTTTAATCTATATTTGCAAGAAGCTTGAACAGTTGCAGATAGTCACTAGAACAACATCTTACTTACTTACTTCGATGACCTTACAGATCAATTATGATCCATGGCCTCCCTCAGATGTCGCCTAAAACTGGCTCTATCGCTGGCTACCGCTTGCCAATTTCCTGTACCGAATGAAATACTGTCTCTATCAACAGCCTCTTTCCATGATTTCTTTGGTCTTCCCTTTTCTGATCTTCTCTTTTTCCATCCACAAATTCAGACTTAAAACCTTACTTAATGGAGCTTCCACTGGTCTCCTCATATCATGTCCAGCCCACTGGAGCCTATTTACTTCAATCGTTTAATGATGTCAGCTTCTGATATATGTAGAACAACATCACATGACCTTATTAAACAAAAAAGCATAAAAAGGCAAAAAGGTTTCTGACTGCAGAAAACTTTGCTAAAACCTTAAAATAAGGTCTTAAAATCCAAGTTTGTAGATGGAAAGAGAATAAAAGAGTCGGGCTTGAGCTACGCTCGCCCGACTTAAATAGATTACAGGACTTGACACACAAAATAGAGGAGTCGGGCTTAAGCTACGCTCGCCCGACTTAAATAGATTACAGGACTTGACTCGTAGAAAGAGGCTGTTCATAGAGACAGTGTTGCTTTTGGAATCGGCAATTGGCAGACGGTAGCCAGCGATATAGCTAGTTTTAAGGGACGACAAAGGGTGTGGTACAAAAGATTCAGTTCTAATTTGAGTCGCAGTGCCTCCAGCTGAAAGGCTGGGCCCTTCACACATTATTATTAAGGGAGGTCATGGAACAGATCTGTACGACCAGCGTAGTTTAGTAAGCAAGTAAAACCTTAAAAACCATCTCAAAACTCACAACAAAAAGTACTCAAAAATTTATATGAATCCCCTAACCCCCATGAATCATCAAAAATAGTACATCATATCTCTCAATAAAATAATCAGAAATAAAACATTTTCATTCCTACACTTTTTTTATGAAAAGCTTTTTGAATAATTTACGATTCTAAAAACAAAACAAAAATGCGAGAACAAAAAAAAAGTTTTATTTTATTTTATTGTGATAGATCACTAAAAATATATGATACACTTTCCTACATCTCTCAGTTCTCATTTCTTGAGTTATTTAATATATCTAGAACAATAAACAAAAAAAAAACCACATTTTGGCTATCATTGTTTTGTAGAGTTTATTAAAGTCATCAAGATGAAATTGTTTCAATCATAAATTTTATTATCATCATTCCGCATCTAGATTCTCTTCGTTTCTAGATCATAAGCATCTCTTATCTGTGTACAGACATGGATGATGATGTGAACAAGTGAAAGTAAAAATGGCA